CTTATCTCTGAAATTTTCATTTATTTACAACTCTAAGATCTCTGGTATATGTTGTCTTGGCAGGATGGTGATATTGTCAATATTGACGTCACAGTTTATCTCAATGTAAGCAGTTTTATCAATCAATGCTTTAAAGCCAATGCTGTATTCTTCACTTAACTAAAATAGGGATACAAAGGAATCATTGGTGTAAGATATGATTGTTCTTTTGTATTTTAGGTTTTTCCTTAAAAATAGAAGTTACTAAGGAAATTTGTATCTTGCTGCCAGATGGATAATGGTTTTGCTTGGAATATACAAACAAACTCCTGGTCCATTTGAATAGCAGTGGGATGATGATGACCTCAAATAATTTATCCAATCAATGATTATGTTGTCTACCATGAGATCTAGGCTTAGAGCATGGACCTGGAATTAGAACTTGCTGAAAGCTTACATGTAGTGTTTTTCAATGCACTTATACAATTGCCTACTAGCTCTTGGAAAGGAAAATGTTGTGTTATTGGAATGGTGTTCTAGGGCGATTATAGCCTGTTGCTGCATTATGTTATGTTATTTGTGATGCTCTAGTATTTCTCTTCATTCATTGTTGGGGCAACTTAACTGATCTATATCTGTAAGATGATTTTCTGCAAGTTTATAGGTTTGTTTACTGTATTTTATTCTTCAACTTACTGTCCTATGCAGGGTTATCATGGTGATACTTCAGCAACATATTTTGTTGGAGATGTTGACAAGGAAGCCAGAAACTTGGTAAAGGTATGCTTTTCTGGCAGCTGCAGTTCTGTTTACTCCTTATATGTTTCCATTTGGTTAAAAGGATATATTTGATTATACATTTTCCCTAGAAGTACAAAATGAATTTTCTGTTCATGGAACTACTACACCATTTCATGGACTTAGATAAACTCCTTCTGTTTTCACCGGAACGTTTTTCCCACTTGCTTTACTCTGTTGTATGTTGCTTGTGGAGCACATCAGTTCTTCTATTTGGCTGTGTCAATATGTCAAACTGTTGTGCCACTACTGAAGATTAAGAAGTTCATTCTCTATGCGATTTAACTTAGGCTTGTACGTACTTTTATCATCTCTTGAGAGTAATTCTTTTCTTGCTTTAGGTGACCCAAGAATGCCTCTACAATGCAATATCAATATGCGCACCAGGAGTGGAATTTAACAAAGTAGGCAAGACAATACAGTAAGCAATCTTTTATTAGTTTAAAATTTTCCTTAAACATGATATGTTGTTTTCAATAGTCTTTATTTCTTCATTGGAAACATTAATTAGTACATGGCTACATTTCAGGTATAAATTACTGATCTTTTATTTTTCACGTATGCTATGTAATCTACATTCTAGTATTGATACACGTGCACAAAGACGAGCGCAGGCATATGTTCATGCATACACAGATGTAATGTACATTTTTCGTACTATTATTTCCATGCTAACTTAAAGCAGTCATTATAACGTGTCCATTTAACTATAGAACAGTGGAAATCTCTTCTATTGTAGTAATTTTCAATTATCCTGGCATTGCACTTTTCAGCGCTTTGCAGAATGTGAAACTTTCTTTACTGGATTATTACTTAATATTGACATTCTCTTTGAAGTGACCATGCAGATAAACACCATTACGGGGTTGTCCAACAGTTTGTTGGCCATGGAGTTGGACGGGTTTTCCATAGCGATCCAGTCATTCTGCACTTCAGTAAATTCTCCAACTTAACGTTCACATTTTCTGTGTCTTTGTAATCTTCGCCTTCATATTAAATAGTAATGATTGAATGTGCATATATGTTCTATTGACCGAGCTATAGATTCCTCTTATAAGTAACATTATGAATTTATCAATGGGGAGTATAAGATCCAAGTAAAATAAAGGCTAGTATTTAGCACTGGATTGGCAATTGGGGATCGCCTAACATCATTCTGCTTGGAATCAAGAGTACTTTTAGCAAGCCTTCTGCTTATCATTTCTGATTTTGAACTGATATATTTAGCCCTTGTTTGGTCCCCATTGTAATGAGATTTTTGGAAATAATGTATTTTGGAATAGTAAATTTTGGGAGAATGTGTGATTAAAAATAAAAAGAATTTTTTGATTTACGTGTAATATTATTTTATTGGAGAATGTGTAATTGAAAAGAAGAGGGAGAAAAATGTATTAAAATTTTAATGGGGGGCCAAACAGGGGCTTAATATGAATGGTGACATATGGAACCCCCCTTTTGAACTAAAAGGAACTATCTAAATTCTAGATTTTTAGATATCATTGTGTTGGTTGATATTTGCCCTATCTCCAGATTGGGTTGGAGAATAATTTGTGCTTGTACTTGCTGAGACCATTAGGATTTTTAATACTCTTTTCATTTCCAAGTTCTATTACCAGTCTTTCTTCACGTTGGTTTGGACTTGTCACCAACATTATGAAATGTAGGATTTCCTCCAAAAGGAATGGGATTATCCGGTAATACTTACTTGTATGTCCTTTTTGTTCTACCTATATTCTTCCTAGAGTCAATGCGATGCTTTATTTCAGATGAATAATGGCCTTTCTGGCCGTGGACATTTGTACATATTTTCTTCTTTAATAGGTGGTTTCGTAAATTTTTTTGAAATTCGTAATGAGAATTTTCACTCACACTATAAAATATTTGGCTTACTTGAACAGCAATAAATTTTTGGGTATTTAGATATATTTATCATCCTACACACGATTTAGTAGTTAGATACTGGCAGGAAAAATAAAAACACTGTAAATTGAAAGCATCGCTCCTCTGGAGTGGAGAAAAAAATTAGAATTTTGTTGTGGCCTTGTCAATACTTTTATTTTACGTCCCTTTGCCCAAGCATCCTGCACCCTTTTTATCATGTTCTGAAGAGGTTGTCTGATTTTGTATATTTAACACCTTTATATTTTCTGGATGTTGGTTTTCATAGGGAATAATGGTCATGGACGCATGGTGCTGAACCAGACTTTCACAATTGGTAATATATCTAGTCTAATGCTTTTGTCCTCAGTGAAGTACAAATCATTGTGCTGATGTAGAGATGTTGGTCTATGAGATTTCAAATATTTGAGAATTTATGCATAATAATGATTGCAAATGGGTTCATATGATATGCTGATGATGCATTCCTGCTCTCCTATCAAAGATAGCAGAATGTAGGAAATGCCAATCAAGTCTTACTGTGTCATGGTTACAATTAAACACACTGATTCATTCTCTCATATGATTTCCTTTGGACTCCTTAATTTCATGAAGGAAAACCAAAAAGTATTGAGTTCATTGTTAAACCTTGTTGATTTTATATATTTGATTGTTATTATCATGATTCTAGCAGGAAAAGTATTTCTATTTCTTGGCCTTCGTTCTTTTTTTCAAGGTTCATTACACTGATGATAAGAATTATTCATCACTGTGCAGAACCGATGCTGACAATTGGCAGCATTAACCCAATAATGTGGGATGATAATTGGACTGTTGTGACAGAGGATGGGAGCCTGTCCGCTCAATTCGAGCATACCCTCTTAATAACCGAGAATGGTGCTGAGATACTAACCCAATGTTAAGATGGAACTACAAAGCATTGTCAAAGAGAAGCTGAGAACGGGGCGTTCCCCGTAGACCATACATTATTATGGGATATGAATTTGTCACCGCGTACAGAATTATCTTGGAAGCAACTTAATTTCACTTAATTATTAGGAAAGGTACCCATTTGACTCCAATTTATTCGAATGTCCCTTTTCTTCAATCACGTGGGATTGAATCTTGACTTGTAGATTTTCTTCTTGTATACTAGTAATTAATAGGTATAGATTCTCACACTTGTACTGTTATTGAATTGTTTATGCATGTCAAGTGTTTTATGTTTTTTCGAACACTTGTTCCAATTCAACCATTAAATTCTACTCCAGATCATTGAACCCAGGAAGACAAACCAATCAACAAATAATAGTACAATGGCTAGACTACATGCCATTTGTTGCAACCAAATTAATTTTGTTTTACGCATATTGCAATTACATAGAACTGTCTGCTTATTGTTCGACTGATTGCCCCAACCAAAATGTTTTTGCGTGGACCTCAATAATTTCATCCTATTCGCATAATTGGATGTTTGATGAATGCATTGGTGCTTACCTTGGGATGAAGTCTAGGAATGTTTTGCCTGACGGATGTGTTTCCCAAGGTTCTAAGCGCGTGCACAGTGTTTGGAGATGGGAGTCCAAGTGCAGAAAGATGTTATTCAATGTGGAGCTGAATCAAATACAGAAGTTTGCAACTGTTCGATTGATATGTATTCCAGATGTGGGTGCATTGAGAGTGCAAGTTGGGTTTTTTATTCAATGTCTGGAACATGTGAATTTAAATGCAAATGGGCGGGAAAGTGTGGTGTTTAAAAACTGTCCAAACATGCTCCGACACGTGGCACAATGTCAAAATTGATGAACTTGTAGCATGATTCTACAATGATTACGAGGTATGTTTATAATGGGATTCTTTGAATGCTCGTGGAAAAGTCAGAATTAATGAGATTGAATAGTATTGAACCTGATACAGTAACTTGGAACATTGTGATGGATGCTTATTGTCGCATAGGACAATGTGATGAGGCTTGGAAAATATTTTCGACAAATTGAGGAGCCTAGTATAATCTCGTGGACAACATTGATATCAGGTTATTCAAGATCTGGAGAACACAAAAGTGCATTGGGAATTTTCGGGGAAATGATCCCAACGGGAGTTCATGCTTCTTTAGACTGTATTTCCAGCATCCTTGCTACTTGTCAACATATGTTGGCGCTAAGATCTGTTCAGGAAATTCATGCGCAAGGCACTAAAATGGATTACAGGCATGCATTTTACATATCACCTGGACCTGCACTGTTGACAACATATGCTAAACGTGGAATAATTCACAATGCAGAGCTTGTATTCAGGCTGATGGATAAACGTGGTGTTGTTGCTTGGAATGCTATGATTCTTGGTTATGGTGATAGAGTGGTGGGAAATTTGGCTTGAAGTGTTACCAAGAAAATTGAAGCCTGGGAGTTGAGGGTGATTGAACCACATTTTCCACCATTTTGCCAGCACGTGAGTTGAAATCCGGGAAGCAAATTCATGGCTACATCAAGAAAGGCAGTTTTGCTGCTTCTATCCCAGTTTAGAATGCTTTGGTTCACACGTATTGCCCAATGTGGATGCATTAGAACTGCATGCTCTGTATTTTCGCAATTGGATAATAAAGATGTCGTGTCAATGAACACAATAATGGAGGGTTCGGTAAACACGGGCTTGGAAGAGAAGCTCTGCAATTCTAGCAAGAGATGAGAAATTCCAGAATTCGCTCCAGTTTGGTCACATTCAGATCTGTGCTTTCAGCATGTAGTCATTCAGGTCTTGTAGAAGAGGGTCTCGAAATTTTCAGCTATATGACTGAGATTTTAAATTCAACCCTGGAATGGAACTTTATGCTTGTGTAGTTGATTTAGTAGCGTGTGTTCGCGGATGCTGTTGAGTACATTATGAAAATGCCTGTTATGGCTGATGAGCACATTTAGGGTTCTGTACTTTCTGCCTCTGTAAAGTATCAGAAAATTAATGTTGTAATTTTAGCTTCAAAGCATTTAGTCAAGTTGGATCCTGAAAATGCTGGACTATCAGATATGTATTCTGAAGAAGATTGGATGATGCAGTCAAAATGAGGAAGCTGATAATGAACTTTAGAGCAGTCAACTTTAGCTATCAAACAATAAGAGAAAAATATGAGTGGAATTAGTATATTAATCCAAACTGATGAAATAAAACTTCTGCCATTTGTTCACATAATCCATTGGCATGTCTACCCGACTTGAATAAAACTCCTATCAATTTGAGTTGTAACAGGGCAAAGAAAAAAAAAAAAAGAGAGAGAGAGACACTAATTGGACATCACAAGTATGTGCAGCACAACATTTTCAGGCAGCAAAGGACCATAAAAATTTGCACCCATTGCAAATATCTATCATTTGGTACTAGTTTATAATCGATTGAACAACTACTCATTTCTATTTATTCAAAATTTAAACAAATTATAAACAACTCCCGAACATGCTTCAAGGATAATTGTGGGTGGGCCAGTGGGCCCTGCTTCGGTTGAGAAGTTACATTGACTAGGCATGAAGATAATTGGCAAATTTTTTCACATTTTTCCCCTCGTTCTTATCAGTTCAGTAAGCTAACAAGTATTTCACAGTTTTTTTTATTTATTATTAATTCAAATCGAGTCACGTTCAGCATACGAAAAGAAATTTATAATCCTATAATGTGATTAACAAGTCAGTCTATTAGTATAGTCTAGTCCCATAGAACTGTTCTTGAGTTTAAATCTTGTAAATGAGAATTAGAATCGATCCGTTCTCGTTAGGCTCTAGACCCAAAATAAAACTAGCCCTACTACTTTTTTCTGCAAAAGTAGCCCAGACCCGACTCTATTTTTTATTCCATCTCTAATTTAGCCCATGCTCAAAATCATGCACCTTAGATTGTAGTGTTGGCTTAGACATTAAGGCCCTGTTCTCTTTGTCGTTTTTCAGCCATTTTCTGTTTTTAATTTCTCAAAATAGCGAAAACGCGTTCTCTATCTTATTTTCGAAAACGTGTTTTGAAAAATGAAAAAAAAAAGATAACTGAAAATGGAAAACAATGAAAACGTCATTTTGCAAAACTGAAGCCCAAACCCACCAAAATTAGAAAACATGCGAAACTCGATCTCTCCTCACTCAACTCTCTCACTCTCCCTCTCACCGTCACTCTCCCTCTCTCTGCAAATCCATCTCCAGCCGCAAACCACCATCCGAAAAACGAGGTCAAAGAGGATCGCGTTGGTCGGGGACGAAGGATTGTTCGACGGGATCTTCGAATTTTGGGGCTGTTTGTTCCGGTGTCGCCGAATAGAAGCCTAAAATGACGGGTAGTTTGAATCAATCCTCAAATCAAGGTTTTGATTCTTTGCTTGTGCTAATTTAGTTATTTGCTTGCTATTACATTTGTGAGTTGTTGGGGGTCCGATTTGCCCTCTGTTTTTTTATTTGCTTGGTGTGGAAATGGAGGCGGGATGCCAGGTTGATTTCGTAGGGGAAAGGGTAGCTTGTGGTGGAGGTAGAGATGGAGGTGGAGCTGGTGTTGGAGGTGGAGGTGGAGGTGGAGGTGGAATTTTTCGAACAGTTTCTGGAATTAAGGGACTCTGTATTCTAATGCAACTGAGTTTTAAGATACATTGCACTAAACTATTAGAATTTCAGACTTGGGGATATCTAGTGATGGGAAACAGCTTATTACTGTTTGTAAAGAAAATATGATATCATTGTTTGGATGGGAATCAAATTCTGAGAAATTCATTGAGGATGATCATGCTATTATTTCATTTGATTTGTTAGATAGATGTCTTAAATTTTCAGGATTTCAGGATTTGTTAGATATATGTCTTAAATTTTCTTTTCACTCTAATGAGAAACCACACCTGCAATTTATTGCCGGAGGGATCTGATCCACACTGTGGCTCATTCATCAGTTCCCAAGCAAAAATAGTAGGATCATCCTTGTAGGTTATGTTTGTGAAAGTATTGACTCTGTTTAGCACCATCTAAAGGAGCCAAAAAGCATTAAATTTCAAAACTTGGAGTTATTATTACAAAAGGGCCATATTAATTCAAGGTAACTTACCTTAACATCGGCATTGTAGTAGCATGATTTCTCCTGAGTTGTATTACTGATGTCCTAGTCTATGTCGGTAAACAGTTTGTGAATGGATCTATCCATCCTACAAATTTCACACTAAATAGTTAGTAAATTGAGTTGAAGTGTTCTGAGAACATTGAGAACATGCTGAGAAGAGTGTCATAAGACGCCAAGTATTTTATGGCCCTACTTTCATCCCGCTCACCATTGAATCTATAGTTTCATTGTTGACCGAATTGGATCATATGATTGTCCTGCACACCGTCAAACATATTTGTTTTCTTCATTTCGTGTCTGAGTAGCTTTCTGGGATTAGGAGTGGTATGATTTGTCTTCAATTGGTCTATCTTTTTTGAAGTTCGTTTTTCATTTTAGTATATCTTGAATATTAAATATATGGTTTTATGGTTGTGGTAGATAAGAACACAATATATTGAAAGATATCTCTTCTACCACTAAAGCTTCCATTAAATATATAGTTGGGGCGGATGGGTTCCAAATGTCAATACTAACTAATGAAGATTCATGTTTATTTATTTTAATGTGTTTGGCTAAACTTTAAAGTAAAAAGTTACAAATGGTTTGAATTTCCGTTTTGAATTACCGTTTTGGCTAAACTTTAAAGTAAAAAGTAACTCTAATAGAATAATGTTATTCATCCAGACCGTTTTGTTCAATTGATCACCTAATTTTATCTCTTAAGCACAATTTGGTATTGGAATACTATAAAAATTACCATTATTATTTAATACTAAATTAACATTAAACTATTAAAATTTATTGAATTATCAGATTTTTGGAATAAAATTTTATTAAAAAAAATTCTCAAAATTTTAAAGTAAACGCGTTTTCTAGTTTTATGTTTACAGAAATAGTTTTCCAAAACAACAAACATAACACATTTTTAGCAAATTCAAAACAGACACTCAAAACACAAAATACAAAACGAATTCAAAACTCAAAATAGAAAACTGAAACACAAAGAGAACGTCACCTAAGAGAATGAAAATAATTTGTTGAAATTATGAGAACTTTGATAATTTCTAATGTTAAAGTTGATCGGCAATTCTCTATGCGGAGGCGGAGCAACCTTGAAGCAAATTGGCTCGTAAAAAATGGAAAACTTAATCCAAATTCATGGTGAAAATAAAAAAGAATAAAAATTAATTTTAGCTCAACTAACTTAATTCTCAACTCAAGCCTAATGTTCAATTATTCAAATTTAGTTTAAGACTCTACAACAATTACATATTTATTTTATTCGTATTCACGATACAAATAACTCGTTACCAAATTAGATATTTTATTTCACACACAAAATATAACTAAGTTTAAAGAGTTCACTTATAATCAAATTAGTTTATTAAATAACANTTCACTTATAATCAAATTAGTTTATATAATAACAAAATTTTTTTATTGATTAAATATAAATGACTTATTTGAACAGTATGAAATGTTACATGTTTGACTAAGTTTAAAAGTACTTAAATTTTTTTAAATATTTTTTTTATATATTACTTATTCATACCTGTGAGTTAAAAATTTATTTATTTCGACTATGAAATAGATGTTAATATCAAAATAAGTTATATGCTATATTTAATTTTATTAGTTTAAAAAAAAAAATGTTAAAACTTTGTTATGAGTATCCAAAAATATATTTTGACTCATATTATTATGAATGTAATGAGTTTAATCTTTTTAAGTTAAATCTCACATGGTATAAAACAACTTTTATGGTATAAGTTAATTGAAAAAAAATTTAAATTTCAACCCAACATAACATATTTTTCTGGCTTCGCCCATGTTGCTATGGATAATTTCTAAACAGCTTTCTTCTATATAAAATACCTAGTAGTTTTTTATTTTCCTCGAAAGAGGACCGCACCCACCCTAACAATAACATCAACCAATTTCTCGACTCTTCATTTTGCATTTTGCAAGAAACATCGAATGATTTTTTTTTTTTTTTTCTCATCTTCATATTTTTCATATATCAGTGTCGATCAATTCTAATATAATTTAAAAGTAAAATATTTAAATCTGTAGTTTATTAAATACATTCATTATAAAGTAAAAATATAGAGCAATCTCTTTACTTCGAAAGGTCACCATAAAGAGCATGTTAAAGCTTCTAACATAGAAAGTTTCTTGAAGATGCTCTAAATCTATGAACTGAACTGTTTGTAATGGTGAGCATGACAAAACTCTTTGATATTATAACTTGTAGGTCCCATGAAATATATAATTAAAAAGTGAACAAAAAATTCTAGGTCCAATAAAATGCATAATTAGAAATAAAATTTGATCATCTTATAATCCCAAAAGAGCTGTCAAACAAGGGCTAAGTTCAAGTTGGCACTGGCATAGAACCTACTAAAAATGCAGCTAATAGATACAATGCCTTTGTTTGAGTTTCATTCTATTTTCTTTATATTTTACTTTTTAAAGTCAAATTAATTTTTAACCACAAAAGAAAATCAAACCCAATCCAAGGCAATTAATCCACAAATTCCGAGTATGAATTCATTCAAATTAACCTCTTATGAAGAAAATAAATATTACAAATACGAAATTCAAGACAATAGATTAAAAACGCAAAAAACATGACATGGTTGGTCGGTTGGTAGAGAGCAAATATTTTATTTCTAAAAATATTAATCATCTTGACAAACAGTGTGGTTTTTGCAAGATATACTGTAGCCCGTACCCCCTCTAAATACAGATCCTGGGGTATCCTTGGATTAGCTTCTCTTGGAGAAGGCCCTCCTTGCACATCTCAAAATCGAAAAAAAAAAAAAAAAAAATTTAACCTCGTGCAAGTCTAGCTGATTATAAGGTGCAGAAGTTGCCACATTTCCAGAGAGCTTGAGAAACCATGCCAGTACCCTACAATTCCAAATTCAAAATTCCTAAAAAGCAGTCACCTAACTCGGGCATTACCTACCAGTATAAATTTGGGGATGACGCTAAAATATAGCAACCGATGGGTTTCCCATATTCAGAGGACAGCTCAAATAATTTACGACCATAGCAAGCAGCGCGCCAGAAAAATGCACAACTATCGAGTATATTACATGGACAAAGAAACTCCACAAACACAACCAATTTGATCCTACATGAGACAAGGACATGAACAAAGCAGTGTGTCAAATTTCACATGGTAGGAGGATACAATACATAACTAGAGGCATAAACATCTCAATACAACACTGTAAATGACAATATACATTACCAAAATGTTAAAGAACAGGTGGAAACTACTATGCAAAGAATAACCGATAACTGACAAACTACTATATGTTACCACAGATAAGAAATAATCATCTTTGTTGTTTACAAGGCATCCAAATCCCGAATCATACTAGAGTTGGCAATGGGAAGTTTTGCTGGATTTGGATGGGTTGAAAAAATATTTGAGAAAAGAAGGGGTTGGAAACACTTGCTCATTCACTTCAAAGTAGTGATTGAACGGTATGTATCAACTAACCAAATTTGGTGGGTTTTTTTTTATTATTATTATTTGTTGCTACATATTTTCTCTGCCAAATTTATTTTGAAGCATAAATACAGTAACGTTTTTCATCTATTTTATAACAGAAGAGTTCTATAATTGGACATTAATTTCAAGCACCATCAAATTTTTATTTTTTTTTCCATCTCACATTTCTTCAAACTGAAATACCGAGTTATAAACTTATTTTACCACCTTTCAGGGGGCATTATTGTGGTTCCTTTTAACAGAGATGAAGTCCACTACGTAGTCACTACTCACTATACACTTATCAGTTGTCCCACTAACCCCAAGATGTATCCTAATACTAAAAAAAGAGTTCTGTAATTGCACATTAGAAGGGTACTATGGAAAATTGTTTTCGATCTTTAAAAACTTGCAATTAACCCTTTGTAGTCAGCAGATTAAAAAAAACTAACCCAACATATCCAGTGGAAATTAGTGAGCCAATGTTACCAACCCATAAAATTGTAAGCAGATACCCACGAGATCTTTGGTCCGGTTCCAGATTGACACCTCTAATCATACAAGTTACACTCATCACAATCAAATTAAAATCATGAGTCTGAAGAGTAAATGATGCAAACTAGACAGAGTATGGTAATCAAAATACACCTGAAACGCAGTATCACCTTTCATCCATCACCTTCCGAGCACCACTCTGTAGTTAAGGATAAGGTCTTCAGGTTTCTTCCATATGTAAGCCCTAACAGTGGCTAAGCTCATGTCAGGGGGTAAGACCTGAGGAACGACAAAATTTCATTGACTTGCAAGGAAAAAAACACAATCAAAATGTTAAGCACAAGACCAATATCTTAGATTGAAAAGTGCATTCATAATCCATGAGGAATGAGTGGTAAGAGAGGAGAGAAGGAAAAAAAAAGATCAGCACGAATTTAGAGAAGATTTGTCATAAACCACCATATTCTTGCTTCTTGGGAGCCATAACTTTGTTATAAAAATATTTGAGATTTGCTAGGCACGTGTAAAGTTAGAAGTTCAGGTGCTTATTTAAAGATTATAATCTCCCAATGGTCAGGCAAAAATAACAGAATATTCCAAACAAAAGAGAGTTTCAAAAATGCAGAACCTTCAAATCTTTTTACATGTTTCAAGTACTTCAACCAGGTTTTGTTAGAGTATACAAGATTTCCAAGATAACACAAACCTGGTTGTTACACAAGATCTCTATACAAGGCTTCAGTTTTTGTCGAGGCTTCAATCCAGACCAGAAAGACCCATCTCCTCCAACAGCTGGAAGTGAAATCTGACTTCCAGGCATCCCAGGGTTAAAAGTGCCATCCGCATTCATACTATCCAATGGCTTATCAAGAACCATTTTTTCTATCACATAATTGACAACCTACAAAAAATAAATTGGTACAATCTTATATCGATGAGTCATCTGCTGCATCCATTTTTGTTTTGAGATAACAATTCAAAATGAAGGCAAAAGGAAAAAAGTATGCTAGGACATTATTCCAAGGAAGCCAGTTTCATCCCAACAACTGATGGCAGGCTCCATAAAACTTTTTCTTTAGGCTCAACTGCACTACAAGGACGTTCCTAGCAGTTTTGGCAGGGATTTTCGATCCCTAGATTATTCATTTAACATTTCAGTAGGCCGCATTTGCATGGAAATAATCTAAATCTGGAATGGGCATCTCTTGTTAGGATACCTTATTTATCAAGAATATTAATGGGGCATTTAATTTCACATGGTATGAACATCCGAACAATGATGACTGAGAAATTCCAATACCTGGGTAGAGGGTAGGCCTTAATTACCAGACATTTGGTTAATCCAAGTACCTATAGTAGCTTAAAAATTACTTCTTGTAACTTCGGAAAGTAAATACTTCTTGTGAGGTGTAACTGGAAGATTGAAGGGGCAAATCTGTTGATGATTTTTTAATACTATACCAGTATCATTCTAAACGGAATGAGGTTGAATCTAAAATAAATTAAATGACCATTTATGAATTTTAACACATGTTATCCAAGTATAAAAATACATACATCAGGTTATAAGTAACAAGCGTATATCAAGACATTTGATTACTATCATTGAAACACCCATCTCCAAAGAAGAAGTCTTGTCATCTGAATGGCCATATCAATGAAGTAACTCTGAAATTTAGATACTGGCCATTTTTTGTTTGCCCAAGTTGTGCACAAAAATCAATTCTTTGCTATTACTTATCTGTCAACTTTTCTTAACAGTTATTCCACTTAACACAATCAAAAGGTAGCTTATAAACATGCTAAGCATGTTCATTAATACTAATATCAGAAGCTGGACTTATGCTATCTAGTGGAAGTTCTTACTTTATGTATTCTCAAAATGCGAGGAGCACTAAGTTTTCCTTGTGTGAGAATTTGTGCTGTGGAACCTTCACATGGGTGCAAATAGAAGCTACATCTGCAGAAAATGAGAAAGTTTCACATGTAAAAGACATACTGCAATAGTTAGCAGCATACGATGTAAAAACGATTTCAACTAATATTAATACAGTTACAGTACGATAATTACTAGTTCTATGATTTGGTCTGCTTGACGAAGAACTAGTTTCATTCATCATCATACAAAAATACAAATCAGAAGAGATGAAGAAAGAGGACCAGAAAATGTTGGAAGGCAAAACAAATTCAAGGGAAAGATAATACAAAGCACAAAATAACAATATCAGTCCCAAACAACCAGCAATCAGGCATCAGCAACAAGTAATTGACTGAGTAGAAAAAAGCGAGTACCTTTCCAAAATTATCAGTGCTTAAGAGAAAAAGTAGATTTGAAACGGTGAGGAACTGGTGAACTTGTGAGCAAAAGTAAGAAGGTAGAAAAGAGTAATTCATGATATTAGACCTACTTTCTGCATGTCTTACCAGAAATGTAGATAATCAAGATTCCTTATTAGCAAAGTTCATGAAAAACATTATCAGAACCAATTTGGACAAGAAAGAATTGCGATTGAGAATTACTTGGTATTTTCCCTGGGAGGCAAGCGATTATTCAACACACAATCCAGAACCCACCATGGAAAGTCTTTCTCGTCTTCAGTTCCATCTAGGTCAGTAATTTTCTTTCTCCATGGGCCTCCTTGAGAGCCCTCGGTAACGATGGATGGAGGGGAAGCAGCTGAAAATTCAAATGGCGGATAGACAACATGGTCATTTTCAGAATTACTATCCCCCTCAATTCGAGACAAGGCTAACGTCCTTGTAGACATATCCTTCCCAGATGGGATTTCTCCATTTGCTGAAGCTTGAGATCCAAATCTCTGCCTTCTTTTGATTAACCAATGAGACAACAGCCCTTTAAGGGTTTCTCGTGCCAAGTTAACCTACATCATTGTGTAAGCCAATCACATTTATTTTATCACACAAAGAGGAAAATACCTTCAGAGCTCATAACGTAATTTATTCACATATTAATTTCCAATTATCATTAGAAGTAAAATAAAGTTTGCGCCAAGTCAAGCTCTGGTTTGCAAAATCCAAAATCATCGAAAGAAAATGTAAGGTGAAACTGAAGTGAACACAATCATCGGCCTGGAATGAACAGGCCACATCAATTTGAATTTGAAAATTAACATACTAAAATTAGATAAGCTTAATGGAAAATACTTCGTAAGTTAGAGATGATTAAACCTTACAGCAAGAATATGTAATATCACAGTACTAGTCACAGACTAAAAGGTGAAGACAATCTATTAAATAAATAAAGTAGGGGTTTTCCAGAGGAAGCAAATAAAGATAATTCTAATTGAAAATACCTTGTCATCCTCAGGTTTCCCCGCAATGTTAAGGTCGGTAGAATACATCTCAGCAGAGAAGCATTGTGGGGTTTCTAAGTGCACTGACAAACTCCCGAGCCTAGTATCTATGGTATACCATGCAGGGATGCTTACCTGAATAAGCAAAATAAGTCAAAAGAATGCCGGGGAAAAACTTAGACATTGAAGATAAGATAGTAAATCGTACCATCTCAAACAATTCTTCTTTCTTCTTATCAAATGAAACCTAAATAAGAAAAGTAAAACAAGTTCAGAATCGTAGCAAGCAAGAAAGTTGGAGCAAAGGCACTGCAAAGAATCTGCCACATTATCAATGGACCAAACCCACCCCATCCTCCCAAGACAATCTGCAGTAAAACAAATGTGAAGTCAACAGCACATTACTCACCTTTCCATAGTTTTCAATCACCATACCATTTGTAATTTCCCATAATTTCACAGAGCCAGTAGTATCCTTGAAAAGGCACAACCCAGATATATAAATAACAAAATTTATGGGCAAGGAAGTAATACTGTGTTGGCTGACAGAAATTAAAAAAAAAATGGTACGTTACCTTAGTCAGTACATGTCTTCTATTATTTAAAATCTCATGCTGCACCAACGCTGGAGTTCCAGGAATGCTAAAAGACGGTTCTCTATAAACAGGAACCTACACCATCATTTAAATGTCAGTTGCTTAATTAGGAAAATCATCATACCAACTTCCCTAAAGTAAAAAAGGCCCAATGGGAGGGTAAAGATTTAGCAAAAACATTCCAAGAATATCAATGCTTCCAATAATGTTTGACTGTCTGTAAGTGTCACCATATAATAGAAAATTTTGGTCAACAGAAAACGTGGACAAACTTCATATTGTTACAAGCAGTAACTATCAATATTCGGCACTTGGGGATTAGTAGTCAGAGGGTAATGCAATCCATAAAAGCAAATATATTGAGGACTTAGACGAAAAGGCATAGCATACACTCCCTTTTTGCAGATTTTTTGGCAGGCCATTCTTTACTTTCTGCGCTACCTAAAGCTATCAAATTGTTTGCCCTATTGAAGATCTCTCCAGTCACAGGTAAACTAAGTACAAGAAATAAGACTGAAGCTTTAGAAAGCAACTATTTTGCTCCAACTTTGATCCAACACTACAGGAGCTTGGGCGCAGTTCTTTAAGAGAAAAATTATTCAAGTAAAGTTTTCTTATGGTAGATAATTAGAAGTAACAAAAAGAATCAGTTAAAAATCGAAAAAGGGATAATCGACTCACTGGTGCAGAACCTTCCAATGAAACCCTTGCCCTTGAAAATGACAAGTTTCCAGCCAAGAATGAACCGCCTCTTTGGAAAACTTTCAGAGGATTATGTGCTTCAGATGGCCATCTGTCTACAGAAGAATCTGTTGTAGCAACCCATATACTGTCATCATGCAATGCCAATCGCGAAATGGGATGCTCCTTTGTGCAAAGTAATACACTCTCTCTCGTTTCCAAGTCTGTCAAATATAACTGGAAGTACAAAAAGAGAGTCAGCTTTAGAAGATGGGCAACGCAGAAAAATATGGAGGTGGGATAAATCTTCATATTGGTAGATTTGCCAAGATGCACTTACAGAACTGTCTCTTCCACCACTATATACGTGACTAAATGTCGGTGTGCTAGCAAGTGCCCATACAGAATCTGTGTGCACGGCATAGGAATGCACACAACGCTGCTGACCAAGATCCCAAAGTCTGCAAACATTTAAATAAAAAGCAGCTAACTATATGAAGAATGACTAATACAACGATATTCATTCAAATGCATAGTACAATCTTTTCGGCTCCAAAAACCCTTTGTCTGCACTCCATTCCTTCCAATGAGTACGTACAAACAAAGCAAAAGATGAAACTATAATTACCGGTAACCTTCTCACAATATACAAAGACCTTCAAACCCAAATTCTGAACATAACACAGAAAAGAAAATCTTCAACAAGCAAGAAACTTCAAAGACGTAAAAAAAAAAAAATAGATAGACTTCAGGATCAGGAGTTCACTAATAAACTTCATTCTTTGTATATAACAAAATCTGATCATGTTGCAAATCTGGTCAAGAAATTGTAGTTAATAGTTTTCCAATGTATTTTCTAATTGTCAATAAGTAAAATCTCTAGAAGTACACCATAATTAGTCTCAACTCCTACTCAAATTTCCTCCAGAGACTTGTCCCTATAAAGTAAAAGACTATGCCAAAAGCTTTTATTGTTGAAGTTCAACATGAAGAATAATTATGAAATGATTTATTGTTAAAAATGCTGTGTGGGAACAGAATGTGGGTATATGATACTTTCTTGTTAGATGCTCTGATAATTGTTGATTTGTGAGCAACTAGCATACCTGATCATAGAATCAGAGGACCCAGATAAGCAAAATCTGCAAATTAAAAGATGAAATCGGTTAATATCGTAAATTACTCCCTCAATCCAGAATTATTGATACTGTTTGAATTGGGCCACAAAATTTTGGCGACAGATTGTCATTTCCATTGTCAAGGATAATTTTAGAAGTAAACTGTCTATAGCAAAAAGGAGGTCATCATTTTCCTATATCCCGAAGGGGTAATCAATCAATTCAATCCTGGATGGAGGTATTATTATCACGTGCGGGCACACACATATACAAACATTGATAGATGCAGGGAGTACAAAGTAGAGGACATTATGGCTTCCATGTAAATGGGTGGAAAACCGATGAATGACTCATAAACCCAAGAGGTGCAGCTCACCCTTTAGTTGTGTGGGAGAGATCCGGACAAAAAGAACCCCAGGCTTTTGACCACAAGGAAAAGTGGAAAATTGATTGAACCACAATCCAGTTTTTTCTATTTTTTCCTTTTCTTGGGTGTGGAGATTGGAGCAAGCCTTTGTTTCGTGCCAAGTAAAAGAAATTGCTAAAGGAATGCTAGAGATAAAGAGACTGATTCTGAAATTCAACATGCACCAAGGATTGACAATACTTGAGTCAAGAGACATGGGACTAGTACTATTCATGTTGTCACCTAAAAACCATGGCAAAATATCATATTGTCTAACACGTCATTTAACCGATTAACTCCTTTTTCTAAGAATAATTAAATGTTTATATTATAATGTCACTCCAAGTCCCTTTAAAACAGAAACTGAATTGAGACTCTGTCAAACTAACCTTCCACTAGAATCCAAAAGCAGTGTCCGAATATTATCGGTGTGCCCTCTGAGCTTCATGTTCTTAGAACCGGTTCTTGGGTCCCAGACACGCACTACCTAGTAGAATCATATATTTACAACACAAAATGGAAGTATTCCAGAAGTCTTAAATGATTAAAACATTAAAATAACTGCTGTAGATCTGGACAATAAAACTGTCAGCTATATTACAAGAATATACCTTCTCAGTTCCACCAGAGACAAGAAGTGTTCCCCGGTCATTCGTGGCCAATGCATAAACTGACTCTTTATGGCCTTTTGCAGAAATAGGAGTGTATACTTGAGATTGAGTAGTATGCAGAGAAATGTTATTACTTGAACCAATAGGACGCATGCTCGTATTTAACGAAGATCCTAAACCATTGACACTTGCTGCACCACCATCTTCAGCTGCATCATTTGACTTGGACAGGGGAGCAAGTGCAGCTTCAAGATCCCATATGAATACTTCCCCACCTAGGCCACCAGAGGCAACAATATTGCTCTGTAATGCATGAATGTAAAAGAATCATAAACGAATAGCAGATACATACATCACACCTCAATGTAAACAGCTTATCAACTAAACACAAGATTTAAATATCCATGACTTTCGTAAATCCAGAAAACATTTGCAAGACTAATTACGTTGTTTTCTGCTGCGGCAAGGCAAGTGACATAGTCAGAGTGCTGACGCAAGGTTCTGGTACATGTTCCATCCGACAAGCAATTCCAAATCTGATAATACCAACAATAAGTAAATAGATTAATACATGAATAGAAGTTCGTATATATGAAACATAGAACCGAAGAATGCACAAACCTTAACAGTGGTGTCCGAGGAGCAAGAAACTAATGTGTTACCACCAGTAAGAACAGAATCATTGACCTGCCCAGCAGATGCATTCCAAAATAAATATGTAGAATATGCATGTTATGTGTTAAAAAGTAACAAAATTCTGAATCATACTAGCTTCAGATTTTAAAACAATAAAATCCCAATTCATAAGTTAGAAGGATTCTTGGAACCATGTCAAAAATTATAGCAGGTAACAATAAAGCTCCAAATCTTGGTATATTAATGCTTCTTGGGGTGTCAATCAGGTAGCCTTATATGGTCAAATGACATTGAGTTCATGAAGCTACATGACACTGAAATGAGTAAAATGTTGGGATATTCTAGAAGATCACTGATCAAATATCTGCCAGCTCAATGGTGGAGGAATTGAAAAATTGAGTACATTGCCACTAAAGTACAGTTGAGTAGTAAGGATTTGATTATGGCATCTAGGGCAGGGCACAGGTCGGGTTTGGATGCAACCCGATCCCCAAAGTTCAGGGTTGGGTAAAATCCCAACCCAAAAACTGAACCAAAAGGAGATAGAAACTGATCTGATTCAGTTTGTCAATTTCATGGGTACTTTACCCTTGAAATTAATTTTTTTACACCCCGACCCACCTTCCCGCAAAACCGTCCCAACCGAGTCGAGGTCTGTTAGTCGGGTTGGTCGGTTTCACGGGTAATATGTCCACCCTTAATGGCATCAATGATTAAGGTCTCTTCAGATAAGTCGCCAGCTAAAATAAACCTTTAAACCAAACATAAAAAGATACAGTAAACTGGAGACTTGAACAAAGAAAAGAATGACTGATACCCAATCAACATGAGACTCGAATGTAGCAGAGCAGGTAGCAACATCTTCACCCAAGGCCCATCTCTTTAATGTGCCATCACGACTCCCAGTGAAGAGAAAATCAGGCCCACCTGGTCCGGATAACTTCAACACAGCCAAGCAATTTATGCCAGCGCAGTGCTGCAAATAGAAGAACCACCCAAAGAAGTGACATCAAGATTATTATCCATTCAGCATAACAGGTATAATATGTAAGTGATGACTGCTTATCAGTACTTAATAGTCTTTGGGAAATAATTGCATAAAAATGGTTAGGGCATTTTCATGCATGCAAGATGCAGGGTTCAATATCTGTCAATATATATGATTCCTTGTGATGTAAACTGGGAATGTAGAGCGAGTCAGGTATCAACAATTCAACATCACATCTGATCAAGGACAATTCGCAATTTCGCATCACAAGCAAAAATTAAAGTCACTGGGATTTGCAAAATCATATTTTAGCTCTCATGAAAAAGAACCTGAAGTTGGCCTTGTCCTCTTTACCAAGATCTCTTAGCACTTAAAAACAAGAACTTCACAAATAAGTAGCAATGTTTTCATCCTTGAGCCAAATAAACATAAATAACTGCAACACTTTTGTAGTTCATTTAATCAATGGTGCAGAACTAATGTTGTCCAGTAAACAAAAAGAGATCCATTAATAAAATTAGCCCTTCCACAGAAGATTTAGTATTCCCACCCCTTTATTATCCCAGCATATGCACACAACAAAGTGAAAACAATGCTATGAGATCTACAGAAATACTTCTGTATGCACATGCATAATCATCCATAAAGAAGCAAGTTATTTAGCATATTATTGGCAAATAGAAACCAAAAACCTTTTGCTCCTCCATTCATTACTTTTTATTCAATAAGTTGATTACTGAAGACTAATGATAATGTCCTGTACAAGAATGGAGCAGCTCCTATAATTATAAAGTAGCAATACCAGGTCCCGAAAGAAGATGGTGTGAGAATACAAGGCAGCTGAGAGAAGAACAAGAAGGATAAAAAAATGTAATAACATAATGAGGAAAGAAAGCCAGCAGGAAGATCGTGCATATGAATGCTCTCAAGTGGATACTCCTCAATCAATGGGCGAGACAGAGAAGGACTGATAAGTTTTTTTATGTCCTTTTCTTCGTTTTATTTAATTGTTTTAAGCGGGAAAGAGGGATTGGTTGATGAATTATGGTATGTCAGTGTATCACATCAGTATTTCATCAAAGATAGAACTTAAATATTACCAAGCGAGAATCAACAATGAGAACTAAAACGAAGCGTCACCTTTGTGTCATCTGAATCGTTCAACACATATGTGAACTTCTTTTCCTTGCGAGAACGAACTGAATTAGATGTGTTCCCTGCACTTCCCACACGGTGCATCGCAGAAACCTAAGGGATAAATAGAACAAATAATAAATACTTAATATATTCAAAATGTCTCTTGATATTATTGTTTGGAGATGGAAATACTAATACTTTCTTACTTAATAATTGCAAAAATTCATGATTACTTTTAGAGAAGAAAAGTCAAGAATAATGAGGATTGAATAAGTTGCAGATTTTTGGAAGTGCTTTTATTTGAAACTCTAACATCAAAAAAGGCTGATGTTGGGCTAGATAGAGGCACAAAGCACCAATGTGTCAACTTGTCAGGGATGCTAGGAAGTAAAGTCAAATAATCTTAACAACACATTCAAGTAATCTAGCATGTAATCCTTTACCAGAATCAACACCAAGAAAGAATAAAATGCATGTTGCATATTCATTGCGACAAAATCTGCTTCACAAGGCTGCACTGCTCTATCCTCTTAATTTTCCTTTGAAAATCATTAAGATGTTAATATATATTACTAAAAGTTAACCTACTAAATGCAACAAGAAATTTCTATTTCTTGCAAGAGCACTCCGGATGAGCAGACCCCCCAGTCTCATGCACACCACGAACATCAAAGACTTCGCCTCGAATCAGTGGAATGTCTATTTCTATAAATGCTTTGGAAAGCCAATGTCTCATCTTAATTATTTTCCTTTCAAAATCATAAACATGAGAACATATAATACTAAAAAATAATCTACTCAACGCAACAAGAAGCCCCATGCATGTCACAAATATAAAAGGACAACTTCACACCAAATCGGAAGAATGTCCATAACTATAGATGCTTTGAGCTTTAAGAAGGAAAGGTCAATTGCAATTTATCAACTTACTTCCTAGTTCCTAATATGATTATTTAGTAAAGTTAAATATCCATCAATGTCATGTAGCCTTCATGCTAGAATTCTCATTAATTATGTAACAGGAAATACTAAGGTTCACGTGGCCATATGCTTCTATGTATAGCCAACAAGGCTACTACTGATATTGTAGATGCTATTATTGTACAGTTACATGTGAAACTCAGGAGATCCATGACTGAAAAAATCAAGGTCATGTGGGACAACTTTAGGAGAGATCTCACAACGCCTGATGCAATGAGCTGCAATGTGGGCTGGCCATATGGATTGTGTGTTCAAATGAATACTTTTTCTAAGAAAGAATCAGTTTTTAATGGATTTGGATCTCTTGGGAGCCACAAAAAGGTAATTTTCGCTAAACGAAAATGCAGGAAAGTGATTACTGGGGAATGTAATTTAAAAGGAGGGGTCCATGAGGAGGAATAAAACAAAATAGAACGTTTATTCGTGAACGACAGTTGAAGGAAGTTTGTAAGAAAGTCAATAACTTTAATGATTCGTGTAATTAAATACTTTATTATAATTAATGGGCAGGGAAGAAAATAAATAGAAGTGTGTAAAAAATATCGGCTAGAAGGAAGAGAACAGAGGAAAGGAAGCACTTCTACTGAGACCTGCAGTTAGGAAGTAGCTAATTTGATTCAGAATTTTCTTAATTACCATATTTGGCTAGTGAAATTTTGCAGGTGAACAATACCTTGAAAGTCAATCAAAAAGCAAGAAGGAAGAGCGAAGATAACAGCTAATCCCGCAATATTGAAAATATTAAGTAGCATGGTCTCAAACTCACTCATTTAAAAACTCTACAAGAATTAAATTGTTTTCTTTCCCTACATTCATCCCAACTTAAAAGTAAATATAGTATCAAAAAATTGCACAATAATTTTTTTTAAAAAAAGAATTGATTATAAAATTGTAACTATGATAAAAGTAATCACAATTAAGATAGCATGAATATGGTAACTGCTAATCGCGCCATATTGAAAATGAAAAGTAGCATGGCTTCAAACTTAATCATTTAAAAACTCTACAAGAATTTAATTGTTTTCTTCCCCTAAATTCATCCCAACTTAAAAGTAAATATAGTATCAAAAAATTGCACAAAAAATTAAAAAAGAAATGAATAGTTGAGAATATAAAATAGTAACTATGATAAAATGTAATCACAATTAAGATAGCATAAATACGATAACAACGTGATGGACAGTTTATTTGACCAACTTCAAATACATATCATAGTACTTTTGTAATCGAGTTCATATCCAGAGTGGAGATAACAAAGGTAACAAAATCCAAACGCTCATTATTCAATAAATCATTTCAGTTTATCGATGTGAAATTGCAACTGATAATTTTTGACATTTCTGAAATCAAGTTCTCAGATTTAAACAAGATTAATCCCAAAATAAGAATTTTTTACATTACCCGCAAGTGAAAGATTAAATCCCCAACCGACTGATATCCCAGAGCTGAAAATAAGTACATAGCATACTAAGCTTGCTCAATTACAGTTTCTAATCACAGCTTTAAAGACGGGAAAAAAAAAAGGAAATAGAACCGAAAAAAATTCCCTCTATTTCAAAGTCAACAAAATAAAAATTGATAAGTTCCATCAAAACATAATCGTTACACATTAACTGGTTAGTGCATCTCCGCACTCGTGCATGTAATTTTCCAAAAAAATACATCATAAAAAGGTCGCAGGGAAGTTTGATCGCCGTCAGTGTGCGTAACCAAAAATATGTAGAATAGAAAACACACATATAAAAAGTATAGAAAAGGAATTAGAGAATCGCCTTCTGGAGACTTCGAAAGCGGAATTTCCAGCTAGATGACTAGTCTTGAATGCGATGCGGAGGCCGGCAGATGAAAGAGACGGTAGGATAGATGGAAGTGAAATAAGTTTTGTGGAGGGAAGAATCGGGCTGCGGTTAAGCTGTTTGGGAGAGAGTGACGGTGGTGGAGCGTCGGAGGAAAAGGCGTACGGAGGTATACTGACGGAGGAGGAAGGCTGGAATTCAATTGGGAATGGGGTGAAAAATGATTTTCTTTTTCTCCCGATGTGAAAATGCTTGATTGTAATTTGTATTGTATTTTTTTTTTTATCTTGCTTTGCTTTGCTCAAACTTATTAATTTCATGCTTCTTTCAAAAAAATAAAAATAAAATAAAATTATTCAAATGTATTTTTTTTGTCAAATTCATTTTCAATATATTTTACACGTAAATTAAAAATTTTATTCTACTTTTTAATTATACATTCTACAAATATTCACCATCTGAAAACTCATTTTCCTACTTTAATGAAAGACAAACGTGTGTAACTTCTTCACTCTAGTCAAACTAAGAATTAATTTCACAAAAATAAACCCTTTTAAAGCAAGATTTTTTTTAAAAAACCAAAATGGAACTTCCCAATAACTTCAGATTTTAGAATTACAATGATAAAAGGTGATTTTCGGCAATTCAAATCGAGACTCGAAAGAAAAAGTACATTCGAGGCAAGGGCATGAACTGCGTTGTTTGCCTATCGTCTAATAAAATGATAGACATCTTGACTATCTTCGCATTTCTACATCTTCTATTACTGAGCAATCATTTAAGAGTTTAATTAGCGATCTGAAGTATTTCTCTCTCGACGATGAAACTTATCATTTAGTCTACTAAATTTAGAATTGTAAATTCACAAGTCAAATCCTGAAATTAGTAAGAAATGCGGCTAAGCTAGTAAGCAAGTCGAGTAAGAGTGCAAGACAATTATCGAGCGAACTTTCGCTAATACTAATAAAAAATGAAAAGCTTTGGTTCTAATTTGTATAAAGATAATAGGCGCTTATCTATCGTGGAGGTTGATGGACTTCCTTGAAACCGTTATAGATAAAATTAAAGAAGTAAAATTAAGTTAATATTTTGAAGCAATGCACCCTATTGAGCGTGAATGTACATTTCCCTCATTGCTACAACTGCATTTGCTAAATCGGATTTGAAATTTGATGTATCATATGAAACATTTTGTATTATATAGATTGAGAAAATTTTCAACTGACTTTATTATCTTCCAATTTTTTTAATAAAATATTATTGTCATGTTTGAGCTCCATTTTTCGTCCAAAATTCATTTTGATATTTTGATAGAGAATGTATGATTAAAAAAAAAGTTTTAAATTTGAGTGTAATATTATTTTATCGAAAAATATGTGGTCGAAAATAAGAAAGAGAAAATGTATTTTGAAAATAATGGGAACCAAACAAGGAAAATGCATTTTTAGGTAAACATAAAATAATGGGGTACAAGAGTGGAAATACGTGCGTGGAATGATGAATTGTGCATGTCCAGCATGATCCCATTGACAAAGAAAATGAAGAAACATCAAATGAGAATCGTTTTTTGGACTGTTATAATCTTACTATAATTCAATCGTTTGAATAATATATTATTTTTCGTTTTTCAATATATATTTAATTTATTTAACCATGTAATTACCATCAATATACATGTACATATTCATTTCATTGCACTTTCATTAATGTATGAATTTCCTATTATTAATTCTCAATTAATTAATATTCACATTCATTTAATTTCACGTCTTCATTTATGCATTTCAATGTTATTAATTTTAATTATAAGTTCATTAAAATTTCACATTCAATAATACATTTCATTATTCACGTCCATGTATTCTATTTAGTATCCAATTTTACTTAATTAAAAATTAAATAAATGATTTAATATTCATTATTATGTATATATTTTCTGGTATTAATTCTAAATTAATTAACATTCATGCATATTCAAATATTATTTTTACAAAATTATTTCATAATAACGTGCAACGCACGTCCAACGTTGACTAGTTCAATAAAATAAAATATTTGGCCCCGTTTAGTAGGGATTAAAATAAAATAAAAATTAATTATTAATTTAAATCACATATTTTATAAGTTTTACAACTTATCAATCATATATTTCATCAATTTTTATTGTAATTTATTAAAAATTAAATTTTAATTCCTCTCAAACAGATATTTGAATTAGAACTATAAAGAAGACTCAGTGGGCCTGACCTAGAACGGCCTAGCACACTCTGTACAGGCCCACTCTCCTACGGTCCAACTTAAACTTGACAAAAATGGCACTAACGTTAGTCAACATAAAGTTTATAGATGATTTTATATTTTTCAAACAAGTGACAGTTGAACATAAATTTCAAATCTCATTTATTAATCAAGAATTTCGTGAAACTCAATTTTATTCCTCCTAAAAAAGTCAAACCAATAGAAACAAATCTATCAAATGGCCCATTGACGTTAAAAGAAAGGAAATTTAGATAAATAGGGGAAAAAAAATAGAGGGTTGAATTGAAAAATAACGACATTTGTTAAATAATGTAAAATTAAAATATAAATGGATGCTACAAATTACATAATATAGATTTTTTAATTTTCTTTACAATGTATGCAATTTTTTTAGAAACCCTACATTTAATATGGTGGCTTATTTCTTAATGTTGCAATTTTGTGAACTTCATATGATCTTGAAAATTTGTGAATTTTGATATAGTATCTCATATAATTTTCAAACGGGAGAGATTTGAATAACTTAACATCGCAAGTTTCTTTCTCGTCTTGAGACCCACCCAAGAGTCAAGAGATAGTAGAGGTCGAAATATTGAATACTTTAGGTAGTTTCTCGAACTCATAAGCAAGAAGTGGATCCTAATAAATATCGAATTTATTCTCAATATAAGCCTTGGTATTGTTTTCACCATTTTATTGAACACGTTAACGAGATTCGGACAAACAATTATCTCATTTATTTGATAATGTGATACATCAACGACGACTAAAAATCAAATACATATTTCATCATCAATATTAGAACAAGCAGTGACATAATCTCCAATATTTAATTATTGCTTGGTGTTGGACCTCCGGAGTTTTCTTTCTTCTGAAAGTAATTTAGCAAACCTGCAGTTATACACCAAAAGAATTATGAGTATTTTCGATTTTCAGTTGAGACGAATATTCACCAACCAGAATGAAATTGAAATACATACGCACCTTTTGAGTGCTTCCGTATTGGTTCCTCCATTCTCGACCGGTTCAACAACACCATTCTCAAAATTCATCCTTGAAACCGGTTTTTTCAACAGCCCTTCGCCCACTTTTACCAGATCTTTCAAGTTCTTTTCTGTTGCTCTATGCATACTGGCTAACTCCCCGGGCAAGGTATCGACCTAATTTTGCACATAAAAATGTATCATAAAAAAGATGTTAAAATTTTATTCTTTTATGTACCATGATCTATGACGTCCCCATATGTACCACTAAAGATAGAGTAAGGGCTGTGATGAACTTACTTGGATGCGGAGGTAGTTTTCTTGCGAATGAAGTGCTTGAAAAACAACGCAATTGTGAAAATCAACCATATCTGCATTTGCTTGGTAAAAAACATTTAAAAGAGGAGTAGAATTGTTGAGAGAAAGCCATTCCAAAAACCCCCACTTGGCTGCCTTTTTCGCATCGTACTGCCCTTCATTCTTTGCATCACCCGTCCCTAGTGATATCACAAGAAAACGTCCATAATCCAATGGCTTAATAGGGAAGAAATCGGGACTTTTCTTGATTGTTTCTCTTGTCACTTCCGAAATGGCAATCAATGTCTGAAATCGTTATAAGATCAATCAAGTCAAATTTCAATCTCATTAGCAGAATGTTTCTTCTTTATTTATGCGTACCGGGTTATTAGCTGCTACACCACCATCTATAAGATTGAATTCTTCTCCTTGGTTCTCAAATTGGTGGGAAGGAAAAAATAAAGGTGCCGCTGAAGTACTAATGCATATGTCCGATAGTAAGGCATCCATTGCAGAGTCCTTGGGCGCCTACACATAGCATTGGGTGTTCGAATTAAATTATTAACTTTCTAGGAGAATTATATTGGGTCCCACGAAATGTAGAGTTCAAATGGATAGTAATACCATGATTGAAATTAATGTTTAATTTTGACTTATTTTCTCATTAATTATAATTTGTTTTTCTTTCTCTTCTTATCAACCTCATATTCTACAATAAAATAATATTACACATAAACTAAAAAACTTTTCTCCATTTTTTAACTACACATTCTCCAAAAAAATTACTATTCATCTCATTATAATGTGAAATAATGAGGCCAAACGGAAGCTAAATAAATTTTTAGTAACTTTTAAGCCATGTTTGGTATAAATTAAAAGTTAGATTTTAATCCAAACCAAAATTAACAATTAACTTCAAGCATACATTTTATGGGATTCACGACTTTTTAAATACACATTTCATCAATTTTTATTAAAATTTACTAAAAATCTGATTTTAATCCCCACTAAGCAGAGCTTAATGTTTGACAAATCAAAAACTAAGGCCAGAGAGATATAAAGCATTGTCAGTAATGGTCATCTATAGACTAACTTCTTATTTTCTTTTGCAAATTGTGACTACTTCAATTTACAAGTTATGTCATGATTACCCAACTAGTAGTAATTAGAGCCTCAATCCTAGAAAAAAGGTGTGTGTCTAAGAGATAACGCCTTATATTTAGGTCAGACTAACAAACTTAAAACTAGGTTTTTAAAAGAATATTCCAACAACCCGATGCTTGAGAGTTGAGAAGGCCTTCAGATTTTTTGCCTAAGACCTCCAATTTACCTCTATGTCCATTATAATAAGATTTACATGCCACCACGAGAGAGGGATATTACCTTAAACGAGCTAAAGATAGTAGGTTGAAGTTTCTTGATGTCAAAACTCGTAATGACAACATTGGTGAGAGTATCATGCAACCTTGTCTTCCCCAATTGGCCCTCTACAAGACTATGAAGATACTTCCCATCATACATAGGTCCTTGTAGAGCTTTAAATGTGCCCATCAATGCTTCCAATGGTCCCCTATATATCAGATTCAAAACAACAGAAGTCATTCAGTTTATACCACTCAGAGTGACTTAATTTGCAGAGAAGAAGAGCTTTAATTACTTGGTCTGCGGAAAAATTTTTGGGCAGTTCTCGAGGTAAAAAGGGACCAAGTCTTTTGCAGCATATAAAGGTCTATTATTTTCATTTGGTGCAGTTAGCATGCCGGTCACGAGACCACCGGTACTTGTTCCTGCTATTACATCAAAGTAATCTGCAAGCCTTGCATCTTCACCATCTAGCTCCTGATCAGAGGACAAGGCATATCAATCAACTAAAACAAGAGCAATTGATAAGAGGGAATTTCGCCTGTCCAGAGCTGGAAGAAGTGATTCCATTCTTAATGATGCCCCAAGATCGGCAAAAACTAGCATATAGAAGATCGATTCTCCTTCTCAGGCACTCTCGGACTAGTTTGAATTAGTTCATAGAAGGTTCATTTGTTGGGCTTAGCCGTTCCACTAGAGATTAGTTACTAATTAATCATATCACTTTCTTTTCTCTAACGAGATTATTAATAACTCATTGAAAGTGGGCGCGATTGAAGGGAGGATGCCAAAACAAAAGACGCTAGAGACTAGTTACTAGTTAATCATATCCCTTTCTCTTCTCTAACGAGGTTATTAATAACTCATTGATAGTGGGCGTGATTGAAGGGAGGATGCCAAAACAAAAGAGAAGGGCGGACACGAAGGAGCGTCTTCAATGAGACCAAGGGCAGCGAGGGCGATCAGAGCACCAAAACATTGTAATAAGATACTTATTTATGAAAATTGTGCACTTAGACTGATTTGGTCTAAAACAACATAAACGTTTACATCAAATGGTTCGATAAAATTGTCGATCGTCCAAAACAACATATCAAGTTTAAAATATATGTAAACATGAATGGCATAGAGTGCTAAAAGTGTTACCTGAAGCTGGGATTCTAGGTAAGCAAGAATAACACTAGGGATGATTCCTTTTATACCTCCACCATCAATACTAAGAATTGCTATGAGATTCCCCTTATTTGGGGGTTGAACTTGTAATTTTGAATTCTTTTCTTCCATTGCTCACTGTTTATATGTTACTAGTCTTTTACAGTAGATTGCACTCCAAGATGATGAGCAATAGGGTTATATATATAAGCAGTGTGAAAATATTTATTAATTACTTTTATATGGTAAATTAAAATTTCCATTAACACTCGCTCTAGTGGAATACATACGGTCAACTAATGGAAACAAAACCAAGTACACTGGGCTGTGGTTTCCAAGAAGAAGAAGAGGAAACAGGAAAATATAATAATATAGATTTAAATAAAGAATATTAGAAATCGTGATATGACAGATACTTTTTTTTTTCAAACCACCACTAACAAATATTTATTCAATCATACCAACCTTAGCATCTTGTTTTACATTATTTTTTATATTGTGCCACGTGTCGACTCATGATTGAATATTTTTAAAAACAACATACTTTTTCGCCCAACATTCATGAAATGTACACTTAGCATAATTTATATTTATTTCTTTTACTTTATTATTGAACATTTTGTTATATTTTGTGTATGGTAGGGTTGGCATAATGGCTGGTCGAATTTTTTAATGCTTCTCGAGTGAAATTGATTATTCAAAGTCAAGATAAAATTTAAACGTGTTTCTCATATGTCCATTTTTTAAAAGATAAATCCCCAAGTACAGGGGATGGTTTCACATGGGACTTACAGGCCCCTCACAAGTGGCCTAGCCCCACATGTATTTAAAAAAGAAAACTACAGTTGGCCCTGTTAAGGGATATAATTCCACATCGAATAAAGATGTTGACACGGACCAATTAATAAAGATTTTGGGCTACTCCTCTTAATAAGGTTGACCTTTTGAGATGGACCCCCAAATCTTAATAGGCCCCACCATGTTTCTTACCTGTAAAGTGTATGTGGGAAATTTCTCTGTACTTCAAGCAAGGCTCTTTTTTAAAATACTTTGTATATTTCGATTCTGGTTGAATTGTTTTTAATGCACCTCGAGTTAAATTAGAGTCCTACTTAGAACTCATTGATTTGACTTCGTGAGCGGGACCAATGGTTATGCTTATTGTATAAGAATTTTTTGATAAAGTTATTTTAGACTTTCTCTAAAAATTCTTTTTGTCAAGATAAAACGCTTCCAAAAAATTATCCAATCGTGTCTTTTGACTTTTGAAAACTCCGACCCTAATTAATCAGAGATAATATAAAACTTAAGAACGCGTCCATTTTTTAAATTACTTTCGTTTATTTCAAATTTTCTTCTTTCACCTACTTTAATTAATTATATTGACTTTATCATGTTCATGACTTCGTGCTTCATTACAGGTCAGACTAAGAAGGATTATTTTCAAAAATAGGCCACGAACCAAGTTTTTGAATATATCACATCACTCTTCATTAGTTTGATTTGAATGCTTAGATGATAGAAACCACAGTTTTTATCGCGGCCGGTGATTTGAGAGTTCGGTCCAAAAGGAGTAAAAAATTAAAAAATTAAAAAAGCGAGTTGAATATGAAAAATATTTAACAGAGAGCGAAGTCATATATAGAAAAATAAATAAAATAATAATAATAATAATTAAGGCAGGCATTGATAGTGGTGAGCCCGATCTCTATGGATTATGATCTCATGTGCCTAATCTCTATGGATTATGATCTCATGTGAATTCACGATATTCCTGAAATCGAAGCGTTGACCATATTAATTCATCATATTGGAAATGTTCTCGTGTCCACAGTGGACAGAATAAGACTGTCCACCTACTGATGTGGCATGAGAACTTAACGTTGGATTCTCTCCGAGTGAACATTATAAGACTTCACACCGTGAACAGGAGAACAGCTCTGATCATCACATTCATTGTTATCGTGTATGTGTGTGTTTTTTCCATTACAAATTTATTGCATGTGAGATCATCTTTACATTCTTTTGTATGATCTGATGTGATCTTTTGTATGACGAAGATCATCTTTAAATTTTTAATATATCTTTAAAAAATTAATGAAATATGATATTGAAAAATTGATAAAAATTGAATCTCAAATATTTTTAGATAGTTCAGATCATTCTACAACTTTGAGGCTGTATACAAGATTATTATTGCTATGACCTAGATATAATGATTTTTCTACAAAGAAAGTGCATTGTTACACAAGTAACTTTTAAAATTAAACATTTCATCTTGAAATTCTTTTTGATGTTACAGAAATTAATTGGTGCGAACATTTCTTAATGTGATTTTGCATCAAAAATACTGCAAACAAAATTCTTACATTGACTGTATATAGATATGATTATACAAAAGACGATATTAATGAAGCGTATATGATGTCTTTGTTATCCTAGTTAATTAGTTAATCCTATCGAAATTTAGGGATGTCAACGAGTTGAGCCAACTCGCGAGCCAAAATTTGTGGCTCGGACTCGATTCGAGTAAAAATGATCCATGCTTTTTTTGGCCCAAGCCCTGCCAAAAAATTTAGGCTGGTCTTGTAGAGCCGAGCCAGCTCACAATTATATATATATATATTAGGCAGCTCTTGCTGACTGAATTTTATTTTTTATTTCTATCAGGGCAGCGTATAGCTATTTGAATTTTAATTTTTAATTTTTTTTGCTCGTCTCATCACGAGCCAAAAATAGTAGTGTGGCTGGCCCGAGCTCGAGCCGACACCCTAAAATGGGACTCAGCTCGAGCCGCAGGATGGGCGGTGCTTTTTCCAAATCGAGTCACGGGTCGCTCGAGCCGACAACAAATTTGACACCCCTAATCGAAGTTAACAAAGACAACACGATGGTTGGATCTATGTATATAAGCAATATCAATTACAATATTTCTTAGATATTTGTGAAAAGATAATATTAAACTATGATATGATTTTTTTCTTGGAAACTTCAAGTTCACCGCTTCATTTTACAGATTGAAAAATGCTATTCATCCCCAGTGGGGATGCATCCCCAATCTATGTGGATGTAAATGATTGGTTAAATTAAATGACTTATTTAATTTCATCTATCATTTAACGTCACATAGACTGGGGATGCATCCCCAATGGGGATGAATAGCATTTCTCTTACAGATTACTTATAAAACACAATTTCTATAAAAATCCGACAGGATTTTTAAGAAGTTTTTTTTGTCAACACTTAACATTCATGTTAGACGATGAAGATATATAAAATGTGTAATCTTATTTTATTTTTTAGTTTCTCAATTATAATTTAATTATTTAGCCTATGGATTAAATCTAAATTTTAATCTAAATTAAAGTTAACAATTAATTTTAATAACATATTTTATAGTACCACTACTTTTTAACCACATATTTCATCAATTTTTATCAAAATCTACTAAAAATTTGATTTCAATGCCGTTGCCATTCCTGGGGTCTAGGGGTGAGCATAGTGGCCTCTATCTCACCTAACCTCGACAAAAAAAATAAATAAATTAAAGTACAATTTTCAGCCAGCCAATTTCATCGAGCCAATTTGTGAGTCATTTTTTTATTATAATTCAAATTTTTTAAGAATGGTTATTGATACCGTTTTTGGCGTTGGTGAAGAGAGGTGCTCAATTCTTGGGAGTCCAAAAGACCGTCCATTTTAAAAGGTTCTTGATACTGTAGAAAGTAACTTCTCAAAATAAACTCCAAAAGACCGTCCATTTTAACTTTTTTAAAATAAAAAGTGAATCATACAATCACACAATAAAATATTTTATACGTAAATTCAAAACTTTTCATTACATTTTAACTACGAATTCTTCAAAAATTTACTATTCAACATTTTGTTTTTGGGTTTTAAACATGGGCGTAATGCAGTCAATATAAATTAAGAAGAAAATGATTTCACGAAATGAGTTTAATATGTTGTCTTGACATATTTTGATTTATTTTTGGGCTTTATTTCTCAATTATCGATTAGGTTCTTGGTATCTTTCTAAAGAACTCACCACCAGCAATGTGATGCATATTTTGAAATGAAAGATCGTTAAAAAGGTGGACTTAATATAGCTAATCAAGATGGCTACTTATTTTATTAAATACGAAATTTAAGGTAAGGCTCAAGTTTCATCTTTTTGTCTGCATAGTACTGTCAAACTCCTCCTTTAGAAAATTACAAGCCCTATTGAAGTACGATTATAAAAATATTTGAGTTCTATGGCACCAAATCAAAGCCAGTACATAATTTGATGTATTCAGTTTTGCATTATTATGTTATGCCTCTATCTACATGGCAAGCCACAGGACTGCTAACTAAGCACAAATGCCACGGAAGCATTTTTTGAGGCCATGTCTATTATCATTCTGAGGCTATGAAGCAACATCACACTGCCTCATCGATTGATGCCTCCAATGCGATCAGATGAGCCACAACTTTAGTCACAGAAGACGTGCGTTTAGTATTTGAAACGGTTGTGAGCTTCAGAGCCACCTCATGCTAGCCGTATCCCATAACTTGGAGCAATATGAGACGTGATTGATGGGATGTTTTCTGTATTGGATGTGGAGATTTAAATCTCATCTTTCCCACATAGGATAGTGTACGAAGTTGTGGACTTGTTGATGCCTATGACGCGACAATATGACGTTATAGAGTTTGATTGGGGGGGGGAGGTGGTGAAACTACTTTTCAAGCATACAAGGAGCCTTCGTTCATTTCCCTCGGCTAAAATATTCATGCATAGAAAATTGGTGTAGGGAATTGCAAAGTAATAATTTTTTTCTTGACAATGCAAATCAAATCCTATATTTGGTTCTTTTTGTAGCGTCACTCCCGCACTCAACATATTTCACAGTATCATTTTGATTGACTTGAGCGTTGAAGCGCATATGATTTCGACATTCCCATGCTTCATATTTGAAGAGGCTCCAATTCAGAGTGTCTAATGCTTGCGTTCCAAGTGAGCAACTCAAGTTTGAAGGAGAGTGAAGACAAAATCTGTTGATACATTGAGTCTTAACTAAATTTGAAGGTCAATGTATTTAAATTGTCACTTTGCTATTAGTAATTATCTTATACAACTCTAAATGTGA